GTGTAGTGCGGTATGTGTTACTAGGGGGACGTTATTTCGGGATGAGGAGGATGGCACCTTGGCCTCCCCTCCCCTGGTACTCGGGTAGTCTCACTCACCGTGTAGAAGGCTCCATTGCCGACTCTCACCTCCACCTCTATCCCTTCCATCACACCGGTCCGTCTGCGCGCACACACACCTCTCTCCGCTCATTGGCCGGAAGTTTCACGACTCCGCCGCTCGTTGGTCAGAGAAACTTCCTCTTTCACCAATCCCGACTCACGATGAAACCAACATCGTGACGCATCCGATGCTGCTCTTTGATTGGCTCCTGGACGCTCCTGGGGGCGCTGATTAGTCATGTAAGAGCATGTGCACTGCGTTGACAGCTGTGGGGAGCCTCGGGCCGGTGGGCGGGGATAAAGAGTGGTTGCAGTGTCATTGGTGGAAGCCGCGTTACTATGGTAACAAGAACGTATAAGGACATACTACAAAAATAGCAGCGTGACTGGGAGATGATTGGGTGCCCCGAGACAGGGGCGAGGTTACAAGGAAAGCCCCGCCTCATTCCGGATTAATGCAAAACAGAGGGAGGAGTCGGGGAGACCGAGATTCCTGAACTGGATACAATGCAACGCTGCAGAGTATTACTCCCTTCTATAGTATCACTGCTCCTCCTCTGCAGAGTATTACTCCCCTTCTATAGACCTCTACTCAGTGCAGAGTATCACTGCTCCTTCCTCTGCAGAGTATTACTCCCTTCTATAGTATCACTGCTCCTCCTCTGCAGAGAATTACTCCCTTCTATAGACCTCTACTCAGTGCAGAGTATCACTGCTCCTTCCTCTGCAGAGTATTACTCCCTTTTATAGAACCCTTCTCAGTGCAGAGTATCACTGCTCCTTCCTCTACAGAGTATTACTCCCTTCTATAGAATTCTACTCAGTGCAGAGTATTACTGCTCCTCCTCTGCAGAATATGACTCCCTTCTTTAGAACTCTACTCAGTGCAGAGTATCACTGCTCCTTCCTCTGCAGAGTATTACTCCCCTCTATAGAACCCTTCTCAGTGCAGAGTATCACTGCTCCTTCCTCTGCAGAGTATTACTCCCTTCTATAAAACTCCACTCAGTGCAGAGTATCACTGCTCCTCCTATGCATAGTATTACTCCCCTTTATAGAACTCTACTCAGTGCAGAGTATCACTGCTCCTTCCTCTGCAGAGTATTACTCCCCTATATAGAACCCTTCTCAGTGCAGAGTATCACTGCTCCTCCTATGCAGAGTATTACTCCTCTCTTTACTGATCACTTCTCTCTCCCTGCAGTGTATCACTTCTGTCTTTCATTGCATTGCGGTGTCAATCATTCTGAATGGCCCCCCAACACGTTGTGCTAATAGTCTGCGATCTCCATTCCTCGCGTTACCTTGAATCTCATTTTGGGGCCATTTCTTCGTTTTGTGATCAATTCATAATAAATGTTTCACTACAAAACCTTCTCTATGGATATAAGATGACGTGTGTGGGGACCGGGAGTCCTCCGGAGGATCCGGGGATACGTCACGTGACCTCTCTGCTGAGGAAATGTCTGAGGAGGACGTTCTATTATTCCATGGGACAGCGATGCCAGAGGAGGTGACAACACGGATCTGAAATCCATTCCCACCTACAGAGGGGAAGAAATCCCGGGGACGTGTTATAGATATACATTGTACACACATGTACTCTCCTCTACAATGAGACATCCATGTGCGATACTTCACAGCTTCTTGGACTTCATCCCAATATGTATCATAGACAATTACAGGATTGTATGGCAAAACCAACCACCATCAGAACCCCTAACCACCATCCAAACCCATGACCAACCACCAACAAGAGCCATGACCAACCACCAGAAGATGCCATGATCAGCTATGACCAGACATGACCAACTGCCAACAGAAGCCATGACCAACCACCAACAGAAGCCATGACCAACCACCAGAAGATGCCATGAATAGCCACCATCAGAGGCCATGACCAACCACCAGAAGATGCCATGAATAGCCACCATCAGAGGCCATGACCAACCACCAGAAGATGCCATGAATAGCCACCATCAGACGCCATGACTAACTGCCAACAGAAGCCATGACCAACCATCAACAGAAGCCATGATGAGATATGACCAATCACCAACAGAAGCCATGACCAACCACCAGAAGATGCCATGATCAGCTATGACCAGACATGACCAACTGCCAACAGAAGCCATGACCAACCACCAACAGAAGCCATGACCAGCCGTGAACAGATGCTATGATCAGATATGACCAGACATGACCAACCACCAACAGAAGCCATGACCTTTAGTTAAATCTCCCCGCTTCCCCCATGTATAACATGTTATGGTAAACTACAAACGCCAAAAGGCGCATAAGGGGGAAATTAACCAAAACTGGAGCAGATTTGCACCGCAACCAATCAGCTTCTCTGTCTCATTTTCAAATATTGCCTGAGAGCAAACTGAAGAGGGATGCTGCAATTTGTCTGCTCCAGTTTGGATAAATGTGCGTAAACGAGACATCGGCAAAATGGGGAAAAAAAATCGGGGACTCCGGGGGGAGGGGGGGGGGTAAGTCCAGGGGAGGCTAAAGGGGTTAATGAGCACCAATTTAGTTGTTTTTTACATGTATTCTTCTGATTTTTAGGCAAGTCGGCGCCAACGCGTTTGCGTCCAACCAGCGCACCTGGTTGACCGCGGACAAAGTTCCCGACACTGGATGGAAATTTCCGATCCGAGACATCCGGGGGCCGTTCCTGGAAGACCAATAATGGTGGGAAGTAAAACGCATCTGAAAGTGAGAGCGTGGCCCCCGGTGGGCCCCCGGCGAGGACGTGCGTCCTGACATAACTGAATTATCCGGGATGGTGTTTAACCTTTGACCTCCCCAGATACCCAGGAGGACATACATTAACCCCTCCGCCGCTGGTGCCCCGTATTGTCACCTCTCTCCCAATGACGTCAGAGGCGGGGGTCCGCATTATGTCCTGTCATCCATCACCTGAAACGGTCACATTTAAGAGGGGACAAAGGCCTGACTGCCCCCCATTGTCCCAATAAAGGCCGGGGGGCCGCCGGGAGATGCCTCGGCTCTTTTGTCTGCCCGGTTTTATTCTCAGCGCATTCCTGAGTGAGCGTCACAGTTGACGTGGGGCCGAAGAATGGAGGCGGCTATTTAACTCCCCTCACCTTTCACTGCGTTTACTGTAATAGGGCTGTGAATAGGGACCGACCCCCCCTCCCCCAC